GCAGGTGGCAGTGGAAGACCCGACTGCCGCGACGAGTGGCTTGCAGCAGTGGGTGTTGGTCAGTTGTGTATCATGCCAGAGTTTGTCATGGGTATCTGCTTCAACATGCGAAGGTAGGATCTGTTCGAGACCGCTCGTGCTCGTCACTGCCTCGAAATTACTGTACAGCAAGTCGTTGATCCTTGTGTGGCCAAGTTTTCTGACCGTACTCCCGGTCCTGGCGCATGTGCCGCAATAGCCTTGGAAAGAAAACTTTTTGGATTTGTTCTTTGGTTGGGCCTGGCCTGGCCCAACATCACTCTTGTAGACATTCGTAGGCCGCGTGTGGCAGTCGGCAAACTCCTAGCCCGCTCAATTTTGTCATAATTCGTTTGTTGCGCCCAGTTACCTGCGACCCGGCTCGCCATGCGGGATGTACTTCACATGACCGTCTTGACACTATAGTTGAGGCATCGAGCCGCACATCACCCTCGAGCTGAATGGAGCTGGTGTGAAGGCTGAGGCCCGAGGGAGCCTGAGCATGTTCACAACCTGCCTCTAAGAGTTGTATAAATAAGTGCGGACCTTAGTCTGGCAGGTGGTCATTGAACGGAAATGAGCCCAAGATTGATGAACTTCACCTTCCTCACGCAAAATCTCTAGATTCGCGCCATGACCCTCGAGCCCGGAACTTGCTTGGTGTTCAAGAGTAGATTGCATATCTCCTCGGCAGTCTGTTCGGAGCTTTTGCGGAGCCAAGCTGCCACGCGGAGTCGCGAATCATCGAGCAAAGGTCTCCACCCCCAGAGATCAGGGGTTTGCTGCGATCATGTATGGTATGAACCACATGATTGAAAACAGCATATTTACATGGCAAAGTGCGACAGGACAAGTTCGGAGAGGAAGCGACTAGTTTCAGCACTCATCGCCACTGGTTCAGGGAAGGGGCTGCGGCTGCAAGTGGGGCATATTGGCTCCAGCGAAGGGCGGTCGAGGGTTGCAGACGCAAAGGCCATGCAGGTGTAGAGCAGCTCTTCTCCCCAAACAGTTGGGGGGATGGGCGGGCGCTAACGTGCGGTTTTGAGCAGCATCGGACCTATATGCATGGATGGATGCACCTGATTCACTCTGTGCATCATATGTGCACCATCTGCATCTGCAGGCCTCCCTAGCAGCCCGGCGCCTCGGCTCCTGGGCCCTGTCCTCTCCCCTGGCTGTAGGGAGGCGGCACCAGGCGGGTAGTGTCACGTAGCCGCGACGCAGCCGCGACGTAGGGCCTGAAGAGCCTCTCCTGGCGTGAAGAGTTCGCTGTGCCAGCCGGAGTTGAACACATAGTAGGGCATGGAACTGCACACGCCACTGTGCTAGATTTTGAAAGGCTGACCAGCTGCGTTCTGTGATCGTGCGGGTCTTGTGTCTGCAAGTCAGAGAGAGGGTGGAGTGGGAAGAGGCCATGCAGTGGAAACTCCTTTGATCTGCTATAGCCTCAATAATATGCGCAACATGGACATCAGTGTCTCTCGTTGCTTCATGCGCCTCTTGAGTCGATGATGCCACGGTCACATGTGCGAAAACTGACATGGTGTGCCTCAGCAGACTTGGACTGATGCAGAAAGCAGATAAAGATATGAGAGAAACTGATAAATGGAATCTGATGTCAAGGAATGCCTGCAGTTCATCAGCCGGGATCACTTCGCTGTGGAATTCCGTGATGCGGAGGCCGGTTTCGCTCCTATGGTCGGATCGAGAAGCGGGGCAATTTCTTGCCAAGCTGAAATCAGCAGTGAACAGACTGCACAACTCTCTGCATGGTTACGGCTCAAGTTGAAGGAGTTAGCGGTCGGTCTCGTACTTGCTCAAGGCATGGCGCCGAACCGCCGGTGCCATTTGTGGCTGGTGCCTCTTGGGACATGGCTGGTGCTTGTCCTCTCCGGATGCTCTGATGGTGGAACGGATGGCCCTACCCCAGAAACCGACACCACTCAGGGATTCTTGGGTCCAACGAGTCCAACGCCTACGGGGCCTACGACGCCTACCACATCAACAACAACCTGGACCTTCCTTTTGCCGGAGAGATCTCAGGCGATGGACGCCCAGTTCCTGATCCAGGCGACCTTCGGCCCCACACGCGCCTCCCTGGCAGAGATCGCTGGCTTGGATTACGACAAATGGTTCGAGGCACAGCTCTCGCTTCCTCCGACGCTTCTGCGCAGCCGCTACCGTGCTCGTGCTAACCCACAAATTTCCGAGGACAAGCCTGCAGGAGTGCCGCGCACCTCTTGCGAAGTTGGATCCCGCTGGCTGCAGAATACCTTCACTTCCGCAGACGTGGGTGCACGGGTTGTGGCCAACGGTGTGCACATCTTCGTTGCTGGGGCCAGGCGGACAACGCTGGATGCTTCTTACACGAAGAACTCGCTCCCAGCCCCGATGAATTGCTCTTCTGTTGGCCGCGATTGGTGGAAGTGGCATCCTCATCGCACCTGCGAAAACCAGATCCGAGCATGGACCTGCAGTGGAGCTGAGGACTGGACAAAGGACAAGACTTGCCAACAGGAGTGTTTCGATGGCGGCTATCGGTATGGATCCGACGATTGTTCACCAGGATGGCCCAACTTCAACTTCACCGGCTATCTTTGCTCCGTGGAGCCTGCTACAGGTGTCGGGAGCCAAATCGAGCTCTCTGTGGATGCAGCATGCGAGGACAAGATTGTGATGCTGAATCCCGGCTTATACGTGCCAGGCCTGACGGACGTAGGGGGCACCTTCCAGAGTGTGCGCCCTTCGGTCATTGCCCTCGAGCAGAGCCCCACGAATTGTGATTTCCAGGACTTCATCCAAGTTGATGGGCAGACCTTCCAACATGAGCCTCGGCTGAAGCTGCTGGACGTGACCAACCCAGCGGATGTTTGTGTGGCGGTCCCAAAGACCCCCATGAATCTGGAGGCCTGTGAAGTGCAAGCCGGCCGGGTTTGTGATCTGGCTCGAGGAACGGACTCGACTCTTACGCTGAACAGCTCATCTTTGCAGCTGCTCTCAGAGCACGCGAACCGGCACATCTTCACCGTCGCCAGTCTTCCCACTTCCCTCAGTCCTTGTGGGACATTGGCCCGGTGGAAGCTCTTGGACTGCTCGACGGACACCTGCACTCCCTCGTCCTTGCAATCCTCGGATACCTCACTCATTCGGGCTGCCCTCTCCACTCAAGTGGGCGGCCTACGCGATGTCTATGTCAACTGCGTAGCGGTGCCTGCAGCTTCCGTGGTGGAGGTCGGGGGCGATACCTTCCAGCACGTGCACATTCACGAGGGCAATGTCTACGACTTCACCGACTGGGTTTCTTCACATCCAGGTGGCGCCACTGCGATCACCAAGTGGAGCGACAGTGACTACAAGTTGCAGTACCCGGGAAACCACCCCATAGAACGCTTTGAGACCCAGGTGAACAACAAGGTGTTGCAGTACATCGGTAAGGCGGACTCGGAAGTGCGCTACTTAGACCTTCCAACGAGCGTCAAGACAGAATCACTGGCTCTTGCACTGGCCAATGCCTCCGACTCCCAAACCCTGTCCCTAGCATGCCCCTCCCCGGGCGAAGTCGCCAACAGCCCGAAGCTGGGCAACAACATGCCCTTCTATTACCGCTTCATCGATTTTGCGGACCTTCGGAACGACCTGGACTTTGACCACCCGAGCGAGCACACACATTCGGGAAGGCCACGTCTCCCGAGGATTAGCGCTTGGATGAATCAGGTCGCCACGGCACCCGACCAGCTTCGACAGCGCATGGCATGGGCTTTGTCCCAGATCCTGGTCATTGGCCTTGGTGGCTTCACCTATACGGAGCAACACGAGATCTGGGTGAATTATTACGACATCCTGGTGCGCAATGCATTCGGAAACTACTTGGACCTGCTACGAGAGGTGACCTTCAATCCTCTGATGGGCGAATACCTCTCATTCCTCCGAAACACGGCCTTTGATCACGACCAGAATTACCCTGACGAGAACTATGCCCGCGAGGTAATGCAGCTGTTCTCCATTGGCACCGTCGAGCTGAATCAGGATGGATCCTGGGTCCTGGATGGTTCTGGCAACCCGGTGCCCACTTACGACAACGACGACATCATGACCTTCGCCAGCGTACTTACCGGTTTCGATCGTCAGGAGTGGCGCAGCAATATCGAGATGGTACCGAGCACATCTGCCGGCAGAAACATCATCGATCCGATGAGAATGGTGTCGCGGTGGCACGATGCCTACCCCAAGATGGACCTGAACGGGAACTACCTTGGCGACGGCTATCCCTTGTGCGCGGACCTCCGCGATGACCAGTTCCTTCGGCAAGGGGCTCGCTACGAGTTTTTTGCCCAGGAGGCCCCAAGCTCGGTCCTCCAGCTTCGCCCCGAGTCGGCGCTGTACAAGGCTCTTTGCTCGGCAGATGGCTCTGGCTCTTGCCGATTCTCGTCCAGTGTCGTGTTGGGCACAGATCTGACATGCTACCAGGAAGAGTGCCGTACTACCCATCCACGGGTGATCAAGGTTGGCGAGGCCTTGTACGAGTTTGTGCCGCCAGCTTGCGTGCACTTTTTCTTCTTCGAAGGCCGTATTGCGACGGGAAGCGCCTCGAGGCGTTTCTGGCAGTCTCGGATGATCTGCACGAATCCGGAGACCTTCGTGGCAGGCGCATATTGCTGTGATGGTTGTTCGAATATCCCACCCCCTCAGTGGCTGGAACATGGCAACTGTCAGAACCTAAGTGATGGTTGGTTCACCACCAGCGCCTGCAATATTCAAGGCCCAGGAAGCTGGTGGGACAGGAACAGGTGGTGCGAACAGAGGTGCGACTCTCTCGGGCTTGGGTACGCTGGCAATTGCACCAAGGAGTATGAAGAGGCTCATGTCTGTGGCTACCATCAGGAATTCATGTCCTACGAGGCTGCCACCCGTCGCTGTGCCGAGGAGGGGCTGAAGATCTGCGACCGTGGCACTAAGTTGACGACATGTGGTTTGAACGATGATGATACTGCCAGGGTGTGGACGCCGGAAGCCTGCACCACCAACGTCACGGTGGATGAGATCGGAAGAGTCAGCTCTCAAAGGACTGAGAAGATGAAGATGAATAGGCTAAGGGTGCAGTGGACGAACGGCTCCCCGGATGTGCAGAACTGCCCATCCGACTGCACCAGCTTGGAGAATTCTTGTGAATGCCCTATTCGAGTCGAGACCCGTGCTGTCTTCAGTAGCCTTCCAGGTGCATCAGAGCTGTCGAAGCTGACGGTGGGTGCATTGCCCCCGCTGGAAGCCTGCAGCCACTGCGGAGATGTGAAAGCCTACACCGCAGACGGTACCTTTGATGAGAAGACGATCTTCGAGCACCAAGGCAAATACTACCGGAACATCGAGAGCCTTGTCTACGTGGCCGGCAAGAGCTTCCGCAATCCACCGCGATTTGGGCTGGAGGAAGCGGTGACTGAGCGCTCGGCCCGCTGGGAGATTGAGAGTTTGCTGGAGCACTTGGTGAACCACCGCAACACCCCGACTTTCATCGGGTATCGACTCATCCAGCGTTTCGTCACCTCGAATCCATCTCCTACTTACATCTTCGACGTCGCGGAGGCTTTTAAGACGGGCACCTATCAAGGACACACATTCTCAGGCCGTCGTGGTGACTTGGCAGCCACAATCGCTGCCATCCTCCTTCACCCCGAGGCTTTGGGTGCAGCAAGTCGCCGGGGAGCATTGCGTGAGCCACTGATCAAGCTCGTACACTTCCTTCGGGCTATGGATTTCGAGGATGCAGCAGGCCGCGAAATCATGTTCTTGGAGCTGCAAGAGCTGATTGGTCAGGGGCCGTTCGGGTCCCCGTCTGTCTTCAACTTCTACCGTACGGACTTCCAGTCGAATACCATGCCAGCAGATGTGGTGGCCCCGGAGGCACAGATCATGGACGCCAGCAACATGGTCAACTTCCTCAACGGCATGCTGTCCCTCATCAAGAACAGTGGTGTGACAAACTGTGACGGAGGCTTTGGCCTCGACACGAAGACTTGTGATCAGAAGTCGCTCAAGCACGGCCTGAACATCACGCAGTCCAGTGCCACGCAAGTTCTTGATGACCTTAACCTGCTGTTGACAGGTGGACGGATGGCGAATGCCACCAAGGATGTGGCACGCGCCAGTTTGGAGGGCTGGGGAGAGGAGCAAAAGGTCAAGGCCGCACAGGAAGCGGTTATCCTCGCACCTGAGTTCCACACCCTTGGGTCGCCACTTCCGGAAGGTCCTCGCAGTGACCAGACACAGACCGACACGGAGAACGTCCAGCCGCGATCTTACAAGGCTTTGATCAATCTCTATCTCAATGGCGGGGCCGACACCTTCAACCTTCTTGTGCCACTGGATTGCAATCTCCACGATGAGTACATGGCTGTCCGAGGCCCCGCGGCGCTCTTGAACTCAGAGCTGCTAGAGATCCAAACCACAGGGCAAGCATGTAGCAAGTTCGGTGTGCATCACAAACTCCCGGTGATTCAACAGCTTTACCGGGATGGAAAGGCCGCCTTCGTCAGCAATGTCGGGAGCCTGGTCCAGCCCCTGAACAGGAATGAGTACGACAACGGCCTGAAACCCGTTTGCGCTGGCCTTTTCTCCCACTCCGACCAGACAGAGGCGGCGCAAACGCTGAAGTGCCAAATTCGGGGCTCCGCACCCAAGGGCGTCGGAGGGCGCATGGCAGATGCACTCTCTGCCGGGACACAGCAGTTCAGAACGGCTTCCTACTCCCTCAGCGGTCGACAGACCTGGGCGCAGGGTGTAGACATCAACCAGATCAGCGTGGCAAGAAGTGGTGAGGTGCCGACTCTCCAAAATTACACAGGAAGGCGGCAGCTGCTGGAGGACCTCTCCAACACGTCTTACGGCAATGTCTACTGCGAGGAGTATGCCAGAAATGTGGGAAAATGGGTGGATTCCAACCAAGTCTTGTCCGAGCAGCTGCAGACGGCAAACCTGAGTTCGACCTGGCCGGAAGGCAACAGTATCCAGGATTGGAGTAGGCGTCAGACGATGCTGTCCTTCCAGACAGTGGCAAAGCTGATCGCTTCGCGGGAAGCCCGCAAAGTGGAGCGAGACTTCTTCTACGTGGAGTTGCGAGGCTTCGACACCCACAACGACGTCCGGGAGGTAATGGAGGAGCTCTTTGACAACCTCAACTTTGCATTGGAGTACTTCGTGGCAGAGCTTAAGGCACAGGGCATCTTTGATGCGACCACACTGGTCACATCGTCGGATTTCGGCCGCACACTCACCTCCAACGGCAAGGGCACCGACCATGGTTGGGCTGGGAACTACGTGGTCCTCGGTGGTGCAGTGAAGGGCGGCCAGGTCTACAATCGATTCCCTTCCAGCTTGATCGAAGGTAACAACCAGGATGCCGGTCGCGGACGGATGATTCCAGAGTATCCGTGGGAGAACGTCCTCATGCCCATTGCTGAGTGGATGGGCGTGGAAGGCTCGCACCAGCGCGATGTCTTCCCCAACATTCAGAATTTCAATGCGTCGCACATCTTGGCTACCAATGTGCTTTTTGCAGCCTAAGCGTGGTTTTGCGACAGCTTCCCGCAACCTACCACAGACTCTAGACAATGTACCGGCGTAGACACCACATAGTGGAAGAGGAGAGGGAACCTCTACTGGAAGACCACCCTACATTACGTAATGTGCACACGAGGGCCGCCTCATGGGCGCACAATGTCACAGTAGGAGCCCCGGAAGCATTTCATGTGGACGGCAATGCAATCACGGAAGAAGCCGACAGTTCTGCCAGACTGGTTGGAAATAATTTTTGCGTAAATCATGGCCATAATTAGGGACTAGCCGCCGCAAAGTGACTCAAAATTTCGGACACTACTTTGGCCACGCGACATGCGGGAAGCAATTAAACCCGCTATCCTGCCTAGAACATGGGCGGTCTTTAAAGCCCTGATGGCACGGGCACGTCCTAGAGCTTTGCCAGGCCAGGAGCCGGCGCAGGGTTGCAACAGGTTTTCTTCATAGCCGAGACAGGCCCGTGCTTTTTGAACTCCGGAGCTGCGACACGCACTCTTCAGGGTTCGACCGGAGAGTGTGACCGCAACACCCCTAAACCAGCGTGAACTCTTGATTTTGCAAGCTGTTCAGATTTTCCTGTTTTGAGGATAAGGCTTAGACTTGGGGCCATAGTGGTCCTCGGCCGTCAAGTTCACGAGGTTTAAGGGTTCGGAGCCTCAGCCTGCTGTGGATGCCACGAAGTGGCCTCCAACGGCCGGATCGGTTCATGGAATTTGGTCACCGGTGCCATATTTCGTGACCCGGTCGAATTTTGTCGAGGCCGGTTAGATGGCTTAATAGTTTTGTGATGCCGACCGGCTTTACGTGGGTCACGATGTGTGTTGTTGCTCCACCGTGCCCTGTGCAGTGCCGCTGTGGCCACATCCACCAAACCCTTAGTTTCGTGACACACGCTATAGCCGTCCTAGCAAGCTCCAGGATGCTCTAATTGCATCGGGAGCCCTGCCTGTGCCAACGGCCGTGGCTAAACCTTCCCTGCCCAGAAATGGGCAGAGTGTGAATGTGCACTTGAAAACAGCCAGTGCCGGTTTGGGGCCATCCGGATCGGCCATTTCGACGAGAGCTCTTTCCCTCAACCATGACCCGAAATCCCACATCTGCACACAACCTCTAGTGCTGTCGGAAGCGCAGCACTGGCCGTCACTTTACTGGTAGCAGACACAGAATGGATGTATGCTTAGATGCTTAGCGAATACTAATTGGATTGATTAGAAGCAATCGGCCAGAGCTTGGGAAAACCCCTCGCCAGGTGCGGCTCACTTCGCAGACGCCGAACCCCATGTGGCGGTTTCGCCAGGGATCTCCACCCTTGGAGTTCGGCAGAGAAGAATCGGTGGTGCACCGCCTGTGACATCTTGTGAGAAAGGCATGGTGCTAGGCAGGCTCTGTTCCACAAGGGCTTCAGCGGGGGAAGGTGATGGTCTTTCACTACGGGATTCAGACGAAAAGAGATGGTGGAACTCTGCTTAGTAATCGACCGACGTGCTTTCGCGTTTGTGTTGCTGTCTTGGGTACTTGGTCAGCCTCCTTGCTCTGTCGAAGAAGATCCGAACTTGGAGATGGTACCCAGAGGTTCAGAATCACAACAAGTGATGAAAACCCCGGAAGCTGTTCAGGGAGGCAACCTTGCAGAAGTGAGATGCCTGTGCGTAGGTCAGTCCCCTTGCAATCGAAGTCCTGAGGCTATAGCTTTGCCATGTCTCGATCCCAGGAACGCTAATTACTCAGGCCTTGCTCGGTTCGCCGGGCTGTGAGAGTTGAGCCCCTCCGCCCCTCTGTATGAGGAAACGCGAGAGCGTGACCTCGCCGAGTGCCCATACCCGCGAACGATAAGTCTTGCACCATGGCGGATTGAAAAGAACCCTGGAACCGCAACTACGAGGCTTTGGAGGATGGCGATGCCGTTGCCTTGGGCACTGGCGTTGGTGACGCACTGGCAACGGCAGAGGCTTGGAAGTTTGGGGTTTGATGAAGACAACGTCAGAGTTCTCGTCCGGATAACTCGGGATGTCGGAATCTTTTCCAGTTTTGACATCAGATTGGTACATGTATGTCCTTCTTCTCCTCGAGCACTGCTCGCCCCCATACTGAACTGCGTGCTTGCTTGAGGTAGGCGCAACTCAACGTGGTTTCTTCGGTTAGTGCCTTCCCTGGCAGTAAGGTGCTGACTGCCTGAAAGCAGATTTTGCCCACGTGCAGTCCAAAATGTAATTAAGCGTCGAAACTGCAGCAAAGGGTCGATCACTTCGCCTCGAAAGTGTTTAATCGTGTAGTCTGTGACTGATTCCGAGTTTTGCTGTCGCTGCGTCTTCGATTCCTCAATATCATGTCATTCTCTGGTATATAAGTATATACGTATCGTACAACATGTTTTATGTTCTGATATGCTGCCTAGAATTGTATTATATTATGTATGTTGTGACCACAAAGCCATGCCGAAATTCAGGATGCATTCGCCCGCCTCCGGTGGACAGTTCGCTTGGCTGACGCTTCCGGGATGCCATGGAAAGCTTGTGCAGCCCTGAGTGCTAGGGGTCTAGGGTTTATGAGCACTACGGGCCTTTCAACTCCTTTGCTAGAACTTCGATTTCGCAGACGGGCGAAGCCGCCAGGACACACCGGACCCACATATGCACTCATCCCTTCCTGGCTGACTTGATTCATTCCTTCCTTGCACGTAACTGATTGATGCATACACACATACATACCTACGTACATACATACATACATACATACATATTTTCTTCCTATATATATATATATGTTTATTTACTTATTTAATATCTATCTATCCATCTATCTATCTATGCACACACACCCACACTCACACACACGCATAGACACCTGGACTGATTCCTTCCTCCGTTCGGCCGAAGCCCGAGGCGCCTTGCCGTCGCGCGGCCCCTCCTCGCCGGGTGGCCCCGGCCCGAGGCCGAGCTTCGGATCCTCGGAGGCTCAGGGCTCAAAGGCGAGTGGGTGTTCTTTATAATAAGGGATTCCAAGCAGGATTTACATTAGATAATTTTTGGCCGAGGAACCTCCGGACACCAGATAGGGTCTAGTTGGCAGCTAGTTTTCGTATTTCTCTCCGTGCAGTTCCAGCTGCCAAATAGACCCGGTTTAAGCCACAGATGGGTGTAGGGGCTCGGGACCCAAGAGCACACACACACATATATATATATATACACATGAGAGAGGCGCCTCTAGGGTCTATTTGACGCCCTATTCTTTTCCTATATAGCTGATACTAATATAAATAATGGAAATAATTCAAATAATTGAAATCAGCAGAGCCGATTTCAATTATTTCAATTACTTAAATCCACAAAAGGCCCCAAATAATTGAACTAATTGAAATCGGTTTTTTTGTGCCAAGCCACGAATCCCGCCGATTTGAATTATTTAAATGATTGAAATAATTGAAATAATTGCAATCCGGCCGATTTCAATTATTTCAATTATTTAAATCCGCAAAAGGGCCCAAATAATTGAAATAATTGAAATCGGCCCCATGTCAATTATGTCAATTATTTAAACAATTCAAATCCCGGGATTCGGTGGCTTGGGCCCACCGAACCCTGGGATTTCAATTATTTCAATTATTTAAATCCACAAAAGGGCCCAAAAAATTGAAATAATTGAACTAATTGAAATCGGTTTTTTTGTGCCAAGCCACGAATCCCGCCGATTTGAATTATTTAAATAATTGAAATCCGGCCGATTTCAATTATTTCAATTATTTAAATCCGCAAAAGGGCCCAAATAATTGAAATAATTGAAATCGGTCCCATTTCAATTATTTCAATTATTTCAATAATTCAAATCCCGGGATTCGGTGGCTTGGGCCCACCGAACCCT